TGTGAAGTGCCGGCGCACACATCGACTTTTTAACCGACTTAAAAAAGGAGGAGGTTCTCAATTCAATTGAAACCAAAATTTTTTTTTAGCTAGAACTTGGCAAATAGTTGTAATTCCACGAGCTTTTAAGATCGGTTTTTTTTGCATAAAAAAGTTATTGAAGAACAATTAAAAAAGATACCCAGCGCAAGTGCACTAGACGATTAGTAAATTGCTCCTGTTCCAAGTTGAAATGTGCAAGCGTCCCGACGACCCCCACCCAAGCACCTGCGTTTTGCATTGGACCGGTAATTAAGCTGGTGCTTTCTTTTTTTAACCGACTTTAAAAAAGGAGGAGCTTCAATGTCGTATGTTTTTTTGTAAAAAAAGGTTACGCGATAACTACGACATTCGTGAACCGATTTTGATGATTTTTTTTTTGTTGGAAAGAGGATACCTCAGAAGTGGTCCCATTGCAATTTGAAGAAAATATTCCTCCTCTAAGGGTGGCAAACTAGGGAATGAATGACTTTTGAGGTCGGTTTTTTCGTTTCGTTTTTATAGTACTCTCTACTGAGATTATGACCGCACATACTTATCACAGTTTAAAGCGATTTAATTAAATGAGTTCTTAGGTTTTCGCGATTGTTACACATAGGAAATAAAACTATTTTTCCGGATTTAAATCGCGTATATTTGGTTTTTCAAACAAATCGACGTTTCGGGCCCTTTACAGGTCCCATGGTCACGGTTGACTGATTGAACATTTTTTTATGATAATAAGTGACAGGACGGACTCGTCGCACAACCTGGTGGTAAGAGACTGTCTGTCCATAGCAGTTACAGTGCCACTCAGAGCTTTACATGAAAAATAAATGTAGGCCATACAAAATATTTCTCCCGGCCCGGAAATTGAACCAGGCACCTCTGCGTGGTAGACTAGCATGGTAACCTATAATTACACCACATGTTTCGAAATGACTCAGCGGTGAAAGCCTCGATAAAACTCGAACTGGAACCTCCCGCATGAGGGCAAACGTAATCCCAACCAGCCAATCGTTGCTCCAATACTGAACGGCAAGAGAACAATGGCGCTGTTCTCGCAACAGCCAACGCAACGGGTCGAGTAATAAAAATAAAAATCCGCCATCTCTAACATACGTTTCTTGCACAAAAACGAGTATAGGAAAAAATATGGTACTGGCGTTGGACATTGGCGAGTTGTCTTTCAATACGTATTTGAATTACGTCCCGTTTTGAAGATTAGTGTCCCGCTGTACCCAAAATATTTAAAAATTTCACATTTTCAAAAACGCTTCGACACGACAGGACATAATCCATATAAAAAAATCATGCCAAAGGTGCCATTCATATTCAAGAACTATTTAATTACTGCGAATTAATACCGCGCCGTGCGCAAAATGAATTTGTCATTTATCAAGTGATTCCCGACAATATTAGCGATGAGGGTTCCTTCAAAGTCGCTTAGCAAACAACACCGATTACGTAATTTCAAATAATTTTATAGGAGAGTGAAAAACCTGCATATATTATTTATTGTATACAAGATTTTTTACCTTTGTTAGTAATAGGTTAATTTATGGATAATAAATAATTGCATGTGTTGGTGGTATTATTTTTATTGATATTTAAGTTTTATTTTGACCTGTGTAACGTTGAATAGTAAAAACTGCCAAATTTTGACTTGAGCGATTTTGTTTGCTAAGCGACGATATGTATGTATTTGTTTTAATAGGTATTTATTTTACAAACAAACCAACGTTTCCGGGTCCATTACAGATCCCATGGTCTCGACCATGTCTCGGCTGACTGTGATGGTAAAATCATCGACCAGTTATGATAAACAATAGAACTATAGTTACAAAAGTTATAAATACCATATTTAATTTACCAAAGAACAATCCAATTTACGCTATACGCTGTTTGTAAAATATTGTATATTGGCAGTATTAATTTTTATTAAATCAAATTTGTTTATTAAAAGGAAATTATAAACAAATTAAAACATATTATTTAGTACCATTTGCAGTCTTATATCTGAATGGTATATTTCATCGGAGGAAATACTAGTTACAAGGAATTGGTATATCATCATTATCAGTGACGAATGTTTAAGTACGGTCAACTCTATGGTTTAGCTAGTGTCGTGCTCCACAGATGTTTAAAACCGTGCCTAACTTCACAGCCTTTGCTTAATACACATCTACATAATGTTTTATTAAACAAAACTCATGTTAATTAATGTTATTCGTTCGCAGTTTCGCAGACACAGCAACCGGTCAATACACAATGGCGTGACTATAACAAAATGCCTAAACCGGCCGCTCAAGGCCGCGCAGATTTAAATTTAAACTTAGAACACACGTTCCATTGTCGTTGCGCGACGCCCATATTTGGAATATGGCGGGAATTTTTAATTTGGAACGTTTTTCGGTCACCATAGACACGGGTTAACGTATTAAATTTGAACACATAAACTCATAACAGAAATTAACATTCTTACACTAGTGTCACAGTAACTTTTAAATGAAAAATAGTTCTAGGCATAACATTAATGCGAGGAATAAAAATAAACTGACTGTCCTAGACAGTCGTCTTCACAGTCACAAATTCATTTAAGAAGCAATGTATACGCTTCTATAATAAGATTTCGGTTGATAGTTTACAACAAAAACTTAACGCTAAAGGTTATACATATAGTTTCAGAGCACTTGGACGATAAAAATCCATTGTACAGGCACTTTTAGCACTTTCCCGATTGTAAATGATCCCTGGAGTTTCTTACTCATTCTTCTCTTCTCGTCGAAATCTGCCTCACGAATGAGTAGTAGAGTTTACAATGTGACGATTTCAAGTGTAATTTGATTACCTATTAAATATATTTGAAACGGAATGACCAAAATGTTTGGTATTTTATCTATGCTCTATCGACAGAAATGCGGATTTGACTGTCATAATGTATAAGTCCTTTATCAGGAACAGACGTCATAATCAAAAAAGGATCTTTTTTTAAAATGACATTAAATTGTTGTTTATACAGCTGTTCCGTGTTGCCATAGAAATAGTACGTTTTCGTTAAAAATTTTAATTTTTAACTGACTTCAAAAAAGGAGAAGTTTCTCAATTCGACTGTATTTTTTTGTGTATGATACGCGATTACTCCGGCATTAGTATTGGTCCCAATTAAATTTGATGAAAATATTCCATCTCCAAGGGTGGCAAACTAGGGGTTGAATCCGGTTTCGCGCACTTTCAGTAACTGATTCCAAACTTGGCAAATAGATGTAATTCCACGCACTTAAGGTAATTTAAAATGTAATCTCTCAAACTTTGTATCAACATAATAATACCACTGTGATAAAACGACATAAATAATGTAATATATAGATAAGCAACCGTTGTGTAACGTCAAATGTCATCTATCTGCCTCCTATTAAACTGCCTCTGTGGCCGAACGGTTACCATGCCGGACTGCCACGCAGAGGTCCCAGGTTCGATTCCCGGACCGGGAAAAATATTTGTATGGCCTACAGTTATTTCTCTCGTGAGTTTGAGTGTAATTTGTGGTTGTCTATGTGTGTGTCCATGGCACCCGCGACCCTGGGTTTCCCTAGTGCGGGGCTATGTTGAGTGTGTACGTTATTTATTTATTTATCGTAACTGGTACAAGGTGTAATTTTCGGTTGAGCAGCTAACATACACTACTGCCACCTTACCTATTTCTGCCACCAAGCAATAATATGAGAAATAATGCGTTCCAGTTTCGAATGGTCAGGGTGAAATTACAGGCACATGGGACTTGTCACCTTATGCCTCAGAGTGACTGGCAGTGTCCCTCAGATCTTTGCGATTAAAGCTCTGAGTGGCACTGCAACTGCCATTGACAGGCGTGTCGCTTACCACCAGCGCACGACTTGTTTATCCCGTCCTTAGTAACAATAAAAAAAAATTTCAAACAAACCAACGTTTCAGGCTCATAATAAATATAATACAATTTATTCGAAAATATAGTTTAATTTCCAAATTGCTTAGTGACAACTTTTATTCGTAAAGCAGTCACTGGCTGTCCCAGTGAAACCGAAACAGGCGCGATTGTTTATAATATATCATAGTATTTATGTGGTCTGTGTATATTATGTATTAATTTCGTATCTTATCGTTTAAAACATTTATTGTTCTCTTTTTTAAACGAATTATAGAAAAAAGATTGATTTTGTTGATTCGAATCCAGCTCGAACAGTAGGAAAGAAGATAGCGGAGCCACACATTTTTTGGGCCCAGTCATGCGACGAATTGTGAAATTGTTGTTTCTATTCGCCTACCCTGTTATTTTATAGACGCATCCTTTTCAATGGACATTTTTTATACTTATATTTTTTTTATTTTATATTGTATTATACAGTGTAGCAGTTTTTAATCATATAATTGATACAGTACAGTAAAGTGATCTTAATTACTTTAGATAACAGACATTTCAGGCTTATCCGCAAAAGATACGACTGACTGAAAAATGCTGTGATAACTCATAGATACGTCGAAAAAATCATGTATGGCCGCGTTTATTTAACTTCGGCGGAGACACCGCTTTGTCCTGTTATATTGTGTAATTGAAGAGAATTCAAAAAACGTTGTACGTATATTTTTTTAACCGCGTTTACATTGTAACCGTTTTTTTATCGAGTCCGTTATCATTTTCAAGATATTCTAATCGTATACAACGAAAACACATTTGTGTCCTCAAACTCGGTATTCTCTAGCTGCTAAATTTACAAAATACCTAATCACAGAAAAAGTAAAAACCTTAACATCCATAGCATTAGTAAATTTCTCTATAAAAATAATCAGTGTTTTGTTACAAACGAATGCACGTAATGTTTAGGTGAAAAAAATAAATTGAGAAGCCATCCATTACAAAAAATCCACACATGGCATTAATAAACACACATCGCCGAGAGAAAGCAACGCAGATATGCGAAACTGTTACACATCGCTTCACAGACACTATTTAATTATCGAAAACCCACGCGGAACATCACTATTATTGTTTTTTTAAACACTTATTTTACACTAAAAAACACTTACAGTTTTATATTATATCCGACAAAACACCTTTTTTTAAAGAAAAAGAAAAAACCGTTTTCTTTTTTAAACTGGTTCGAAGTTTAAAATGTAACGTATAAAAGGCGCGTGCCGTATGCTATGGTGTGCAATCGCGGACTGACGCTCGAGCGCGACGCGGCTTCCGCTCCGAGATAATATGTTTTTAGGATTCTGCAAGAGGAAGCGAAAAACGGTTGGCTTTTTTTCGTAAAATCAATGCCGTCACCACGTGGTTACCGCTTTGAAATAACAGGACCATACCTTCTGTTGTAATGTCAAAGGCAATAAATCCATTAACATTTAATTATTTACAGCTGGTCACATTATTAAGAAATTAGTTTTTTTTTTAAATTCAATTTAATATAATAGCAGGTGTACAATAAGAAAGATATCATTATCAATCCGTTATAAGTCCCACTGCTACGTACTGGTCACCTCTAAAGAGAGAGATAGAAAAAACAATTTAACTATACAGTTAAAAAGAAAAACCACGTCGTAAAAGTAAAGCGTACTATGTCTTGATGATGAATTCCCATACACACCATCGTACCCCTCTCCACCGATTGCAGTATCTGTTATTTAACTTGAATAGCTGCTTCTTTAAACAGCCTGGATCTAGAGTCACAAATATACAACCGGTGTCTTTCATATATTATCTCGTTGTAAAATCAACACTAGTATTTATGTGGTCTGTGGTCAACACATTCTTATCAGGGGGTTATAAAAGGAAGTGTTATATAATTTTTGTCGTAATTGAGGTGTACTATCTTGCCACAGTGTAATAAGAACTAGTTAATTCCATTAATACATAAAAGGTAATACATAATGTAGAAGTAAATTTTTCAAAAATGAATTGTACAAAAATATTATAGTACGTGAAAACTAAACCAAGCAAATTAAAATTCATTTGACAAAGACGTTGTCGGGAATTAAACCCCATACTCTCACCGTTAACACAACTAAACCATTACTCAAAAAATTACATTACTAAACAATGGTAAAAAAATAATTAAAAATTTAAAAGATGTAATTAAAATTCACTAATAAGATATGAATCTATTGCGTAATAACTGCTGTTCTGTTAAAAAACGTGCAACCTTTAAATGTAAGGTTGTTGCACTGCTGGGCACGGGTGTTCTGTATAGCAAGGGCTTTTCTATATGACACGGGTGTACTATATGGCTCCCATCTGCATTGGATCAACGGGACCCTTGCTCAGCTGAACGATGTTCGTGCGATGGTAACCTGTCACAAACTAGAATTTCTTTTTTCCGAATTTCATTACTCCGAACACGGTTCGACTTTTTTTATTAGTACGATGACAGTTTTGGTATAAATTTGCAACACGTAATTGTCTTACAGGAGAAGTATCGTTTGTCCGAAAACCTATTAATAGAATAATTATTACACATATGTATGTATTCTTTGGGCAGAAGTTTGTCTGGTCTAATCATATTTGTTATACTGTCTGCTTTCCATATAATTTAAATTGTTAACTGCCTCCGTGGCCGTACGGTTACCATGCCGGACTGCCACGCAGAGGTCCCAGGTTTGATTCCCGGGCCAGGAGAAATATTTGTATGGCCTACATTTATTTCTCTCGTGAGTTTGGGTGTAATTTGTGATTGTCTATGTGTGTGTCCATGGCACCCGCGACTCAGGGTTTCCCTAGTGCGAGGCTATGTTGAGCGTGTGCGTTATTATTATGTTATTATAGATTGCTGAAAATTCGCTTCGACAAAATTATTCTTAGATAAAATTATACCGCCGCCGTACAATTTTACAGGGAGCTGAACGGTTACCGAACAGCTCCAAAATTCTGGATTGTGCTTTGCTGGTGCACTGTAAGTTCCACGTGACTTTCGTCAAACCATTGTGCTATGTTTTTCCAGTCATGTGAAATGTAATTTAAAAACAATGGTCATAGTGGCGAGTACCAGAAACGAATTTGCTTGTATTTTCTAGCTGGTTCGACTCACTGCTGTGGGTTTAGGTTAGGTTAGCATATGAAAAAGCTGCACGAGATGAACCAGCGAAGAGAGACTTTTCTGAATCTTGGCAACTATCAATGATGTACGAGTGGTTTCTTCTGAGATATTTTAGAATACGCGAATTTACGCGATCATACCAACTACAATGCAGACTCTGACTTCTTGACAACGGGATTGTTACACACGGCCGTACGCGCCTAGCCGGTCAGAGCTAGAATTGAGAGGAAAACGAATAATTCAGGAGCTCTGACTGACCGAGCGGCGTAGCGACCAATTGATAGGACCGGTACGGTATGGGAGACACCGTACCGGTATAAGAAAAAGCGAAAATTGGTATTTGTGTTCATTCGCTTTCATTCGCATTCTTTCGTTCTCAGTTGTAAGACGTGTTAATGTTCGGTTGTAAGTCAGAGTTTCTAATGAGAATATACAGTCCACTTCTAAGATAAAGGAGTTTCGAGGAAGGATACCGAAGGATCGGGGCAGGGTTCAACAAACTCCTTTGTACATTTTATACGTTCTTTTTTGGTTGTCATGATGACGGTGATTTGTTGATAACGTGTTGATTACATGTAATCAGGAATGTTATCCAAATTTATATTATTTCGTAAGAGCCACTATCGAAGACATTTAATTTTTGTAATGGAATCCAAGAAAGAAATTACTCTCAGTCTTGGCTGTATGACGCATTAGTGCCTTTGCCTTTTCCAATGGAAAAAACAGTACCAAAAAAGGTAGGTATTGTGTCATGTGAAAAGTCGACTTTTATTTGTGGAAAACAATTACGGATCAGCACCAGGGACCACCTTGAGAGTGTACCCTTTCAAACAAAAAAGAATTTTCAAAATCCGTCCACAATTCACGGAGTAATTTTAAAACATACATACACCCGAAACGTATAACCTCCTCCTTTTTTTGAAAGTCGGTTAAAAAAACCGTAACGTGTTTTCGGACAAATCAAACAAAATATATTCAATAAACACACAAACAAAATTCTGTAACTCATGTTTCTAGCTTGTGATATGTAACCTTACGCGATACAGCACATGACGTCATGAATATATTAAGTCCCACTTTCTTTAACAGTCGGTGAAACTACCCCACTTTGTATGGATCCCATACTAACACATAAGTACAAAACGCAAAACGATTGTATGTAGATTGAGAAATTTCCCTTTTGTCTTATGCACAACGTTTACTGACTTTTAAATCACTTACTACTCGTACAAATCGAAAAGCGCTGAACGGGCAAAGTACTTACTACATACATACATGCTTCAGGCCCAAGCAAGCAAGTCCACAGGTTTATATGAAAAACGTACTTTTTTATGATACCAAATGACGGGACGAACAAGTCGTGCGCCTGGTAAGCGACACGCCTGTCCATAACAGTTGCAGTACTAATCAGAACTTGAAATCGCAAAGATCTGAGGACTGGCATTGTCGTAAATAAATTGTGATTTCACCAGCACCCTTCAAAACCGAAACGCAGTAGCGCTCGTATTACTTCTTGGCGGCAGAAATAGGTAAGATGGCAGTACTTCCCTGGACGAACTCTTTCACAAGGAGCTCGACTGCTAGTTAAAGTATTTTCAACCGATGGAAAAAAGCAGGGAGCTTCTCGGAAGTCGCATAATTTTGATGATTCTTTTTTATTGGAAAGAGGGTACCTCAGAAGTAGCCCCATTTAAATTTTAAGAAAATGTTTCACTTCTACGGGTGGAACGACATTAAGGGAAAAATCCGGTTTATTGAGGCTCACCCATTTTCCGTGAACCGATTTTGGTTTGATTGAGTCCAAACAAAATAGGCCTACTGTAAGTGGAGGAGGAGTTGGGTAGCCTGCGGTTTGTCCTGATTGCATCATTAAATGAAGGTTGTTATATTATTGTAATGTCATCGGATTTCATAGTAGACTAAATTTCAAGTCGATCGGACTAGTGGAAATATAATTGTAACTTATCGTGTTCTTACGTTTTCACGATTGTGACACAGGAAATGAAACTATTTTTCCGGATTTAAATCGCGTACATTTGTTTTTTCAAACAAACCAAAGTTTCGGGCCCTTTACAGGTCCCATGGTCAAGGTTGATTGTCAACGATACAAAATCTTATTACAAAAAATATTAATTATCTGATCTCATTCCAGTAGTGGGCCGTCTACAAGTCGATCGAATGAATATTTCGATTAGTCGCACACAACGTGAGGTAATGGTTAAAAGCAAATTGTAACGGATTTAAACCACGTGACACTAACTAAGCAGTTATTTCACAGTCATTTCACGTTGACATAAAGTAACAAACTTATTTTGTAATAACTAGCAACAGTGCAAGTATTTAGGAGCAGTAGAGCTCCTTGTAAAAAAGAATTTCATTGCCCGTTTCTCAAGCCAAAATTTCATAGGTTTCTCACATGTGACACTAAGGTAAATAAAGCCGTTAAATCAATAATTGCAACTTTTTCATAAAAAAAAGCCGACGTCAAAAGTTGACGGAACTACATCTACGTTTGCCAAGTTTTATTGGGAGGAATATTTCTTCAAATTTAAATGGGACCAGTACCGAGGAGGGTTCTCTTTAAAACAAAAAAGAGCCATCATAATCGGTTCACAAATCACAAAGTCGGTGAAAAACAAAGATCTGCAAAAAGTACATAGAAAAATTCGTAAGTTCTATTAACTCGTTCCGCAGCTCGGTTGGGAGAGCAATAGCCCCGGTTTCGCGAAAAAGTCCAGTGTTCGAGTTCAGGAGGACCAAAGGAATTTTTCTTTGTATTTTTGTATCAATAACTGCTTTATATTATGTTGTATCGTCTCGTATGTATTTACTTTTACTCCAATTAACTATTTCAGTCATATGGATTAAATGGGGGTTTTCCCTTTTCTTCCAAGTTGACTATAGATGCGAAAGTCACGGGTTCGGTTTCCGGTAGAGACAATTTGAGAAACGTGATTTTTTTAAATTGACAAAAATAAGTAAGGGAGGCAATACCTCCCTGGACGAACTCAACATCATGATAATCCAATAAAATATAGTATTTTAATATTTACCAATCTCCTCAGTGTTTTCTGTTTTAGTTTTATGTAAAACTTGAACAATCTTCACGGCACGATTCGACATGTCGCCATTGAGGC